CTTGTTGGAGGACTCGGTCGGAAGGGAATATCGACCGGAAGGCAAACGAACGTAAAGTTCAGCGACTGCGACGGGGTTGGTTCTCTACGGAGGTAGCCGTTTGGCCGTTAGAGAGTTCAGAGGGGGTAGGTCTATGGTTCTATTGGGTGGAATCAGTTTGAGAATGGTTGGATACCGGTAGGGTGTGCGTAAGATTTATATACGGAAGTGAGAATGTAGGAAATTGCAAGTCCAAAATGGGGATCGATGGGAGATTAGTTCAGAGCAGTGAACGATTTCAAAATAATTTTTCAACCACCTCATTTCCGTTTCTCCTTTGCATATCAAATGGGATCCTGACAGATTGAAACGAAATCAACGATTGGTAATTTCAAGGAGTGGTTTTCTGGTCCAGAGCTTCAAAGTATCGTGGGCGGAAATCCGTTGTCTGCATTGAGTCAATCATTTTTTTCCTTGCTGGGGCAACAACGTGCTGATCTATCCGTCCGGACCACGTCATGTCAATTTTGTGGATTGAGAGCCTGGACGAAAAGGGGAAGGAAAATATATAATAAAAAAAAAAAAAAATTAAAAGATTCAATCACACGTCCCTTTTGAAACTCTCGAAGCCTCCAAACGGTCGACGCAGTACAACGTGGCGACGTCCAATGCAAAATGGATTGGCCCCGCGGCAACGACAATGAGCGATTGTTCCCTTTGTTCTAGACTCGAATAAACGAAGAAACTTCGAGGACATCGTCTCAATCGTTAAGTACACGTGTACCCAATTTCGAATGGGAACGAAAAATCTCATGAGAACGTAAGGGAATTATGCGGGAACATTCGAATGCGGTATATTCAATCGAATGGACAGAGTCGAAGACCCAATGGATCCTTATGGATGTATGTATATTCGAAGATATAAGAATTTACATATATTCATAACATCGAAAAGGAAAGAAATCATTGTTATCTCGTGATCGAACCTCCCAAAAAATACAGTCTGCAAGCTGTAATGCCTCGGGCAAGTACACGTGGCTTTTCATAAAATTATGGAAATACACGTTAAATAAATATAAAAAAATAATACACTATAAAACCGTGCACGTCGATATATTGTAATAAAAATCCTATGCAAAGCCACGTACGGAATTGTTAGAGACTTTTTTTTTTCATCTGCCAAATCAAAAACACATTGAACACATGAACCGAGTATAAATGGTATTCGATATTTCTATACACCGTACCAAAATCTTATATACGAAATACGAAATCTGAAAAATGCGAAAATTTCGTAAAACTGTCTGATACAGGAAGACATCAAAGAAATTTCATTTCAACGTTATCGCTTTGGAAGCTCTGAACTATATATAACAACCAAGCAAAGAACACTCTTAGGCACGACGCTTCACGTAATTATACCCTACCTCTTCGCGTGGATAAGATCGCATCCACGGTGAAATATAACGAGCGCCGATGAGCGTCGATAACGGCCAAAATCGTTGCCGTATATTAAAGCGAGCGCCACGACGGCAGAGACGCCGTGCCTGGGAGGCACGAAAAATATAGTAGGGTAGCGGAAGATATGACTGGGAGACTTGAAGAAGGTGATGGAGTAGGAGACTATAGAAGGGTAGGCCATTGTTGTTGACTTATAGTATATACCAATAGAGTGCAACGATATACAGAATTGAGTGGATCGCTCCAGCGGAGCAAAAAATTCTTTGACTATGAACGTTCCTGTACTATGTATCCAGCAGGGATTACTTGGGAGGTATATTAGACAAAGGTTGGGTGATCTAATCTAACATCTGATGCCTCAAAAGACTGTTAAGCAGGTACGGTAAGAATTTTTAGTCACGAAGTAGGTACAATCGAAGTTCAATTTGATTTCTATCGCTTTGACGTCCATTTGCAAGAGGTTTGTGTTCCGAGGAGCGACGGTGGCGCCACGTGCTGCGGTTAAGATGCGGAAGTCGCGTTAACTTCGTCATCAGACTTTTGGACGTGCTTGGAGAGCTTCGCGTATAGTCTTCAATTTGAATGCTCGATCGACCACTCTACATATACGGATGGGTTTGGATTGTTAGACTTGTTAGAAGTTTCTCTAACACGAGTGTGACCGTCCAGCTCCGATGACGAGTCGAAGACTCTCGATCAAATTCAGGCGGTAGTACACATAAGCGAATCGTGTAATACCGTGATAGACCCCAAAGTTGTTATCGAGTTTACTGATTTCTATCATAGGATTACGAGGGGAATCGTTGGGAAGTTTCTGGAATATGAGGACTTCTTCGCGAAATTATCGGATTTTTCTTGAGTTCGTACTCGAGCAAATAAAGCAAATTTCTAAGTAAACATTGTAGTCAGCCATCTTGAATGGCCTATCTCGATGCTATGCTTTTAAAGATATATATAATATACTAAATAATATTACGTCAAGACTCGCTTGACTCAAAATAGAGTATCGCATTTTTTCAAATTTACATACAAGTTTCTTAGACAGTGTGAAACGATACAGGTGCTGCCGCTGTGGCAATTACTGGAACTATTGAAATTGTACGATCAGTACAATGAAACTGTATATGCATACAGTATGCATTACTAAACATTACTGATACTGTTATTTCTATCCCTACTGACGTTATTACTTCCAACAATAACTATACCAGTAGCTACTACTATATCGTCTAGATCTGAAAACCAACTTTTGCAGGAAACAGAAGATGAGAGACGAAGTTACAATAGTTTGAATAACGCCAAACAAGTCGGGACAGAACGATCAAGGCCATTGTAAGCCTCACGAGTATAAAAGGGATCCTATACTGCCTGCGATTAACTCAGTTTTACGAACGTCGGCGAATCTTCTTAGAATTAAATTCCGTCGTAATCTGTTCCTCATTGAAAATATTTTGTCCCTGAACTAAGTAATTTCAAAGTTTCGCTATACTCCATGCTGAGCACACCTGCTCTGAGTATCATGAAAAAGATATACCTATATACCTATCTTACATGTATAAAACAAACCAGGTCAAAAAAGATACCCAGATAAACGCTTTCAAACACGGGATGGATCACTGATAGATCATTTTCCATGATCTATTATAACGTCAGCATCAAACGATAAATGATCGATGATAGATATATGACGTGATAGAAGTTAAAAAGATAGATCAATTACAAGAGGGAGCGATGTTTCACAATATAAACAGTACCCACGTGTATACTCGAGTAACTACGTATATTCGTATACACGTACAAGTTCGCGCAAAAGTTTTGCGAATAATTTGAAATCATGGTAGCTGCAATCCCGTTCGGCGAACTTTTACGTATATATTATCGTATACATGGGCTAGCTTTTCAAGGAAGTGCTGAACATATATCTCCAGCGGGTTATATCCCGTGAAACAGGGATTTTTCTCCTTTAACTACGGAATCACGTTTGCCTTTAAGATTCCGAATGCTCACGTAAACGTATGTGTCTGCTTCTCTACAAGAATAAATATGTTCATAAAAATACAATGTAAATATATTTAAAGAAGCACCATTACTTGATAACATTATTTTTTCTTTTCATTTCCCTTTTTCTTTAAGACGTTACAGAGTAACGATAACCTAAATCCGTTTAACATATATATATAGACCGACAAAGCTATTGCTCGACGGGAAAAAAGCACGTATCAACATACCGCGACGCGTATCATCGACCCGAGTGACCCTTGACCCTTTACATGGGTCAAACCCAGTGTGAAGTAACGATATAATACGAACGAAGGCCCATAGATCTGCCATTTCGAAATTTTAAAGGGTCCAACGATACGCGCGTATATATTTCTTTTCGAATAAAAAAAAAAACCCTATCCACCCCCTTCCTACCAAGGTTATATCGTTTTTCTTATTTATTAAGGTGACATGGAAATTCCACTGGGTCTTATCGCTTCCGTTTATCTCGGATTGGCAGGCCGAGATGATTCTCCTCAAATTCGTTAATACCATCGGTAAGATCAACAAAAGCAAATTGAGTTGATCTGTCGGTAAGCAACGAGAGAAGGGAATCCAGGGCCGTGTGAATGGGGCGCCACGGTAGAAGCCGTTGCGCAGGAGATTTAATAAAGCCAAGGCAGAATATAAACGGGTATAGTGTCTGCCGGATGGTTCGTGTAATTAATGCCAGACATAAAGCAAAAGGGGATGTTTCGGCAATGGATTTGACGTGGAAGTTAGAAAAGAGAAAGATGGAGGATAGAGCTAGCTGCAAAACAGAAAAGAGAAGGAACACGTGCTGCGGGAGGGTGTTAGGCTTAATCCCGAGTGACTGGATGGAAGGGGCTGTCATCAACGTGGTTCTCGGCTTTATCCTACTATGCATCAGGCTTAAACCACCCTGACCTAGTGGCTATAAAATAGTACCGATATAGATATAGACAGTAACTAAATAAAAGGGGTGAAAGGACTGAGCAATAAATGCTTTTCAAATAAATTCGTAATTCCAGCGCTTATCGGTATAACCATCCGTTCCAGTGAATAACGTAGAAATAACGAAAGATACGTGTATACGAAGCTGAAGAGATGGGGGTTGATAAAACAAAAAAGAGTAACAGAAAAATGTTTTATCGGATCGTTCGAGCGTATGGGAAATGCCGAGGAAAATTATTTCAACGAATTATCGTGCCTCCCTTCTGGTAGGACGACGTCAATAGCATTCTTATGGCCGTGACGACGTCGCGAATATCGAGCGTCCCCGCGGCAGCTGCTGGAATTCGTAAATTCACCGGTGTTCTCGGATAACGCGATTAGCGTCAGGACTTAACGAGCACGCCTACCAGTCTGCCGATGATTATCTCAAAAGTCCCTAGATAAGATCTGCCGGTACCATGCCGTCTAGGTATTTCGCTTCGTGATAAATTTTCTCACATTTCACGAATAACTGTAGTACAGACTTACCAGCCTGCTGTACGATATAGCGTTACCCCGATATGCTTATGGATACAGTACTGCCAACGTATAGTGAAATCACTCACCTAACTGACATCGATCGCCGCTCCTGCCCAGCGGACATTGACACCTCTGCCTGAAAGACCCTTGTATCTGTCTCGCGGTAACGCCGTTGCCTTCAAGATCCTCCTCATCTTCGCTACGGTAGCGTTCGATATAGCAATTGCCACCAGAGCCGCAGTCCAAGGAGCATGCGGGTTCGGTGCTGAGAACGTTTTCCGTGGTGGATGGTAATTTTTGTTCTAGATTTGGTAGCTGGAAAAAAACAAAAAACTTTCACGTGAAGTGCATCATCGTAGCCAAGCTATTCTGATAGATATATTAAAACGTTCCACCCTTATACCCCCCTATCCTCCATCCTTTTTCCTTCCTAATCATCCATTCTCGATGATTGATACGTTAAGAGCCCCACATAAGAGTGCATAGCGCACAGTGGATGTGCATAAGCCAGCAGGCGTCGAATACAATAGAAATACCAGTAAGCCGGTATTTGAAGAAATCGCTAATCCAATTAGTTAAATCAAATAATCAAATCAAATAATAAATCAAAATATTGAATCCAAAAAGCGACGTTAACGCCTCGGGAGGAAAGAAATCGTTATCCCCGCTAGATTTAACGTATGCCTATCGAGGATATAAGCAGCGGCTTCCTCGATAGGAGATCACTCGTGTCTGTCTAGACGAATCAACCAGACCCATGTACACCACAAGACGACAAGAAGCAAGTAAAGATTTGGAAAGTACAAATTATCAAAAAGCTAGGAGAAAACCAATCCTCTATTCCAGAGCGAACCAGTGAACAGTATTGTACTGCAGACTGTGGGAACTCATCCACGGCAGTTCCTGGTCTTGGAAAGCATTGTGTCTCCACCCTGTATCAGGAAATCTGTCATCCTTATAGATATTCTGCATCGATAGCATTGTGCTGGAGCTGTCAGAAATCGACCACTGCATAACAACCACATTCCTTAAAAAGCTCAGCTCCCAATATCATTGTGGTTAGTAGCTGTCTGAGCCTAACCGATCCTTAAGATAAGGGATTCAGCAAACGGGGTTCATTGTGATCTCCTGT